CTCCTCCTCCTCCTCCTCCTCCTCCTCCTCCTCCTCCTCCTCCTCCTCCCCCTCCCTCCTCCCCCTCCCCCTCCTCCTCACCTCGCCTCCGCCGGCAGCGGACGACGCGCGCTCCTCAGGGCGACATGGGCAGCTCGTTCTTCCTCGTCTGCTCGGAGGGGCTGCCCGGGGGCTCCTCGTCCCGTCCATCCGCCCCCCATCCTGCGCCTCCTCCCGCTCCCTCGGCCCCCGCCTCGGCGGTGGCGCAGCTGCCCGCCCTCGGTGCCCGCCCGATTGCCAAGCTGCACGCGTTTTGATCAGGACCCGGGCGATTCGGGGGAGTGGCCAGCGCCGCCGCTGTCGAATTGGAGCTGTTTGGGACGAGGAGGGTCGCAGTCGCAGAGGCTTGCCTCCTGCGCGCTGGGGGCCCTCGAACGGTCCCTATCATCAGTGCCCTCAGCAGCCTCTTCCCCCTCTCCCCCTGGTCCCCCTGCTCCTCCTCGTCCATGATGCCATGCCCCTCGTGGTCCTGCTCAAGCCGTGATCATTCTCAGTAGCAACGCTTCGCCGTGCAGCTAGACGTGTCGGTAGGGTAGGGCAGGCCGGGGGGGGTCGCCTGAGATTTGTTAGCATCCGCTGGCTTCTCTTTCCTGGATCCTCGTTTCTCCGCCTCCCCCGTCCTTCATCACGTCTCTTTGAGCATGTTTGTCGTCGTTGGAGCAGCAGGCGTGCCGTCAGAGCGCGTCCAGGCTCGTTTCCTGATGCGTCCTCACGGTTTTGCATAAGAAGTGTGGTTGGAAGAGTTGCCAGTTGCACGGGTGGAGCACTGACCGTGGTTCAGTATCCGATTCAGGAGATTCGCACAAGGGTTTGTGCGAACAGTCACGAAGCATGCACGGATAGAGGGTGGGTGGTTTTCACGGTGTGGTTGTCAATTTAGTGCAGCGCATGCTTGTGTTCAACATCCCGCAAGCTATCATCAAATTTCGGCTCTCGTATGAGCGGTGTGCGCATTCGTCGTTTGAATGTTTTACACTGGTTGAATGTGACCCCTCTCACGGGGTGCCTCTCGCTTTCGCGACGCGCGCGCTCGTCCTAAAATAGCTGCCTCATTTCTGTGGATGCCGCCCGGGACTTTTTTCAAAATGCAGCTCTCGCTCATGTTTAAAGACTCTCGCTTGGGTTATGGCGCGACCGATCTGAGACGGTTTTATTCTCGGCCGCCGAGGGCGCAACCTATGGCGCAACCGACAGGAAACGGATTTATTCTCAGCCGTCGAGGGCACAACCTATGGCGCAACCGATCGGAGACGCCTTTAGTCTCTTGCACAGGGTGTCTAGAGCTCCGACCACTTTATTCCGCGTCGCACCCCCCCCGCGTCCCCAGCGCCAGAGTGGGACCCCCGCGCCGTGGCTCTCTGCCCCGAGCCCCCCCTGCGTCCCCAGCGCCCCAGCGGGAGCCCCGCCCTCTGTTCCCTCCGCCACGAACGCTTTATTCCGCGCCGCCCCCCCCCCCCCCCGCGTCCCCAGCGCCAGAGTGGGACCCCCGCCCCGTGGCTCTCTGCCCCTAATCCCCCCCCCCCGCGTCCCCAGCGCCCCAGCGGGAGCCCCGCCCTCTGTTCCCTCCGCCACGAACGCTTTATTCCGCGTCGCACCCCCCTCCCCCGCGTCCCCAGCGCCAGAGTGGGACCCCCGCGCCGTGGTTCTCTGCCCCGAGCCCCCCCGCGTCCCCAGCGCCCAGCGGGAGCCCCGCCCATGCCCCCTCCGCCACGAACGCTTTATTCCGCGTCGCGACGCACACCACCTCCCCCACCTCCCTCCCCGCGTCCCCAGCGCCCCAGTGGGGGCTCCGCCCCGTGCCCCCTCCGCCCCGACAATTTTATTCCGCGTCGCGACGCACACCACCTCCCCCCCTCCCCCCCCGTCCCCAGCGCCCCAGTTGGACCCCCGCCCCGTGGCCCTCTGCCCCAAGCCCCGCCCAGTGCCCCCTCCGCCCCGACCATTTTATTCCGCGTCGCGACGCACACCACCTCCCCCCCCTCCTCTCCGCGCCCCCAGCGCCCCAGTGGGACCTCCGCCCCGTGCCCCCTCCGCTCCGAGTACTTTATTCCGCGTCGCGACGCACAGCACCTCCCCCCCTCCCCACCTGGGATTTGGGCCCCGTTGCTGGGCCCCGAGGTGCGATGTCTTGCCCCCGCTTCCCCCCTCCTCCACCTCCTCCCCCCCTTCTTTTTTAAGCAAGAGGCATGGCGCACGTGCCACCTGTTCTCAGCCGCCGAGGGCGCAACCTTGGGCGCAACCTATGTCCTCTGCCGCCGACCCCAGAGACAAATGTTGTGAGTCATGTCACGCACCGCGCAGGCAAAGCATCCACGAGGAAGAGGTCCTAGACAATGGCGACGACGAGGAGGAGCTGGAGCAGGAGGAAAACGAGGAAGACGAGGAGGACGAGGAGCAGGACGACGACGACGACGATCAGGGAGGAGGACGGGGAGGAATACGAGTAGTACGAGGACGAAGTGTGGACGCCCGATGTATGCTCGCCGTTTTGGCTGGCGATGGGGCCCAAGCGGCGAGCTGTCTTGTGATTTTCGGGAGGTTTGGTGAATGTCAGAGTCTGGCTTTCGCCTGGGGGCTCAGGAAAACCGGAGGATAGAAGCGCGCCATGCGTCTACATAGCTTGAATGCTCAGAGCGTCACCTTCGTCTGCTCCTGGATGCCACAAGGCGGAGGCCCTGCCAGGGAAGCTCGCCAGCGCCCTTGCGTCACTTCTTGGGGCAGGTTTTTCATCGCCACGCATCGCCGGCAGCAAGAGAGCTGTCTGAAGTATCACGGGGCGCCTTCACGCCTTGTTGTTAGCATCTGGACGCCTGTTGTGGAAAGCTGCGGCCGGAACAAATAGTGTAGCACCCCGCAGTTCCGGATAAGAGTGATGGGGCGGGCTCGTGGAATTTCGCAGGTGGGTCGCGGGCGGGTCGCGGGCGGGTCGCGGGTGGGTCGCGGGTGGGTTGTGTATGGGTCGCGGGTGGGTCGCGGGTGTGTCGCGGGGTGGGTCGTGGGGTGGGTCGCAGGGTGGGTCGCGGGTGGGTCACGGGCAGGTCGCAGGCGAGGACAATGACAACGACAAGCAACAACAGCAACAGCAGTAGAAACAGCAACAACAATAAACAATCACAAGACAGCTCGCCGCTTGGGCCCCACCGCCACCCCAAACGGCGAGCACAAATCGGGTGTAGCCCCGCGCGCATTCGAATGCCCACGCTTCGTCCTCGGACTGCTCGCATTCCTCCCCGTCCCCCTGGCCATCCTGATCGTCGTCCTCCTCCTCGTCCTCCTCGTACTCCTCGTCTTCCTCGTCATCCTTCTGCTCAGCTCCGTCTCGTCGTCCTCGTCTAGGACCTCATCCTCGTGGGCACTTTGCCTGCGCGGTGCGTGACATGACTCACAAGATTTGTCTCTGGAGTCGGCGGCAGAGGCCATAGGTTGCGCCCTCGGCGGCTGATAAGAAAACCATCTCCTATCGGTTGCGCCATGGGTTGCGCCCTCGGCGGCCGATAATGAAACCATCTCCTATCGGTGGCGCCATAGGCTGCGCCTTCGGCGGCCGAGAATGAAGCCGTCTCCTATCGATTGCGCCATAGGTTTCGCCCTCGGCGGCCGAGAATAAAACCGTCGCGTAACGGGTGCGACCAGTCTGTTCAGTTCACTTCAGTTCAGTTCAGTCAGTTTACCTCGCGAAATAACAAGAACAGTAAGAAGAAAAGGCTAAACAGCAACAGTCGCACCACCAACAGCAAGATCAACAGCGATAACATCACAACAACACACAACAGCAGCACCATCAGCAACAACAACCATCCGCATTGCGAAACCCCACTTTAGCCACGCGCCCAGGGACAGCCAATGACCGTTCCGCCCCCTTCATTCTGATGATCTCTCTCTTCTGTTCTCTCTCTCTCTCTATCTCTACCTATCCCAATTTCTTTCTCTCTCTCTCTCTCTCGCTGTCTCTCTCTCTCTCTCTCGCTTTCTTTAAACATGCACGTGCGTTGCACGTGCATTTGGCACATGCGTATCTACATCTCGGGGGTCGGGGTGTTTCGTGCCCGCTTGACCCCGACAGTGAGTGACCGTTCGGCCACCTCACTCTGAGAATGTCCTCGTGGCTAAATCCCAGAAAGGCTTTTGCCCTGGCCGAGGGGCGTCGCGGCAGCACTCGGGAGACGCCGCGTTGCCGGCGCCCGCGCGTCCCCAGGAGCCGCTCGCGGCAAGCGTCAGTGGGATAACAACAACGACAACGACGACGACGACGACGACGACGACAATACCACCACCACCACCACCACGACCACCAACAACAACAACAAAAACAACTACAAAAGACACATCCATCTGCATACACACACACACACACCCTCGTACTTTTCAGCGGCGATCGTCTACACAGGTGGGGATGGCAGATGCCCACCAAGCGTGCAAAACGAACGGTGTCCACAGCTCACCCGTGTACACCGACAACTGTTCCACAAAAGACCACCGTGGTCTGTTTGCACAGGTGATGGTGTTTGGCGTTGCCTTCATGGGAGACGGCCTCACGGCACCCACACCATTACTCCAGCCAACCCGCACAGTAAGGATGAGCGACTTTCCAAGATTACCCCTGCATCTTGCCCCTTCGGTTCATCAACAGCGGCTTTCGCTGGCCAGCCCCGTTCGGAAAACGTTGAAAGGGCCCCCCGAGGCTTCTACATCCTTACCGCGCATCCTTCCTGTATGGGGCCACTGTAAGTCAAGAGTTGGCCCTTGGGCGATGCTTCCCCCCCCGCCCGTTGCCTGCAGAGCGAACTCAACCAGGGGGACAATCCTGGCCACGACGCCCTGGTGGTGAAGATTGAAAATCCACAAGTGAAGCGTCACATCCTTTTGTACCTGAGGAAGCAGCGCATGCCACCTCACGCTCAAGACTCAGAGGCGTCGTGAACTCAGTAAGCATCTGCGGCAAGACCGTCAACTGCTCATCCGAGGGCATTCAGGTCAACAAGGTCCTGGAGACGTTTGCGCTGCACGGCCTCCTGGGCGAAGGCACCTCGAATAGTAGCGAAGTCTCGACGTCCCACCTCCCTCAACATAGCTGGTGCACAGAAGTCTTGCTGTGCTGATGTGGATGAGGCTGGCAGGTCTCAGGGGCGCGAGATGTGCCGTGCTTGTCTGCGTCCTGCAATGTCTTGGCGAGAGGTTCGGTAGACTCCGCTGCTCACAAGACACCTGGTTTCCCACCCCGAGTCGTGTCCCGACGGTCTCGGGGCCCCAGCAAGGGCCTCCAGACACCCAAAGCGACGAAAAGCCCTACGCCTCGAGCGTTTCAGTGCGTCGGAGGTCTGGGTCGTCGCCGTCGTTCGCGGGCGATGTTTCCCCCCCCAGTCCCCGACTTCTCGACGACAAAGAGAGCCGCTCGGAAAAGGGGCGGAGGAAAGTCGGGGATCCCTCCCAGTGGGCCATTCGGGCACACCCCTTGTCGAGGACGGACGCCCCCCCATCGTATATCCCAGGGTTTGGCCCCAGGTCCCTGGTCCATTCGAAAACCCCACGAAGCCTGGGATAGGGGTCGACATATGGGGCGTTCCAAACATGGCCTTGCCTCCCAGGATCGAAGGAGTTGTCATCTCCTCCGCCGCGGAGTGCGGCGGAAGGGCGGCGGAAGTAAAACTTGGCCGCCTCCGCCAGCGGAAGCCGGCGGAAGGGCGGCGGAAGGTGGCGGAAGTAAAAGATGCGCCCCCAAGAAATGAGAACGTTGTTGGGTTGAGGGTTCTCAGACCCCCGATTTCGTGATTTTGTTTACGGCTTCGATCCCCAGAGGTCTGGACCCCATCCACGGGACTGTTTTCTCATCCTGAGCCGTTTTTTGAAAGTCCCGAGGCCCGGTAAGGGCCCCCAGAGGCCGAGAATAGCGAAACCCCTTCCGTCGTCATGCTTCCATGACTCGAGGGGGTCTGGGTTTCCGGAATCGGCCATGTGCCCTGCTCTTCGTCGGCCGCACGGCCAACCCGCAGCCATCCCAATGGCACCCCTTGCATCCTTGCCTCCTCGGCCCGTCCTCGGCCGCTCTCGCTGGCCGCGCCAGATTGCAAAAAAAAACCTTGAACGAAGGATTGCAAAAAAAAAACCCTTTGCAATAAAGGATTGCAAAAAAACCCTTTGCACGAAGGATTGCAAAAAAACCCAGGATTGCAAACAAAAAACGGTTTTTTTGCAATCCTTTGCAATCCTTCGGTTTTTTTGCAATCTTTCGCTCGCAGAGCTTCGAGAGGGCCCTCCGAGGCCCTCGCGTCCTCACCGCGCGCCTCCGGCCTGCCTGCCCTGCTCTTCGCCGGCCGCAGGCCGTCGGCCCGTGGTCAACGGCACCGTCACGGGTATCTACTAACGGGTGCTCTGCAGTTTGCCGAAAGTTGCCACTTTCGGGCCTCCTTCCGGCAGTGCAGCGCTGCCCTCCTCGGGAAGGGCTGGGTTCGCTGGGCCACTGGCCAAAGTGCCCGTCAGTGGAGTCCCCGCTTGGTGGGCGCCGACGTGGGCCGCTCGGGGCCACCGAGGGTCGGTGCGTGCGCCCCTGAGCGTAGCCCCTCCGAACGTTGCCGCTGACGGAGGCCGCCAACCCTGCCTCTCGCACGGGCCTCGCGTCGTGGGCTGCCCTCTGTGCGTCCTGGGGCCAGGGATTGGCCCGTGGGTCTCCCTCGGGGCGAGGGCCCGCCCGAGGGCCACGCCTCGGTGCTCCACGCCGACGAGGACGGCCACGAGCACGAGAGTGGGGGGCGGGGGCCGGGGGTCGGCGCCCGTCGGTGCGTGGGTCATCCCTCGGGGCGCGGGCCCGCGGGCCGCCCCGAGGGCCACGCCTCGGTGCTCCACGTCGACGAGGACGGCCACGAGCACGAGAGTGGGGGGGGGGCGGGGCAGGGCCGGCGGGCGGTGGGCGGGCTGCGGCCGTGGACGATGCCGACCCTGCGCGGCACGGCTCGGGACACGGGGGAGGCCCCTGCCAAGGAGATGCAGGCAGTGGCGAAGCGTCCTGGCGTGCCTGCAGCCCTACCAGACAGTGTTCTGAGAACCTCCTCCTCCTCCTCCTCCTCCTCCTCCTCCTCCTCCTCCTCCTCCTCCTCCCCCTCCTCCTCCCCCTCTCCTCCTCTTCCTCCTCCTCATCTTTCTCATCCTCCTCCTCCTCCTCCTCCTCCTCCTCCTCCTCCAGACCAGACAATGTTCTGAGAACCTTTTGTGGTTCCCACGAAATGTTCTTAGCACAGTTCTGGCGGAGTCTGTCTTGTTTGAACACATCGGGCCCATGTTCCACGAACCTTGTTTTTGTTCTTCGAACATTTTTGGATTCCAGGAACATTTCGTGTGGTATATCTATCGGAATGCCGGGACGGCTGGTCCTTGTTCAAGAAATACCATGCTTGCCTCCAGGGTGCCTCGTGTCGGCGTCACCCCAGCATACTTCTGCTATGTGTGCGTCGCCCCCCCCCCCCCCAGGGGCGACGCGCGCACGGAGAAATCTCATGGTCTATGCGTCGTGGCGGGCGCTTTCTGGCCACACCGCTCGGGAAACGATCTATTACAAGATGGGTGTACTGTATGTTCGGGTCGGACTCGCGCCTCCAAGCAGGATATACATATATATATATAGTATTAGTATGTTTCTGTTTGGGTTTCTTGGTTTTCGATGGCTCTGAAGTGGCCACACCACAAATCAATGATTGTCCTGGGGTTCCAGGGTTGGGTTTCTTGTGAAAGGTCTCTTGTGGTCGAACTCCTACGGTTCTCACTGCCCAGCAATCCGACGCTCTAGCAAAAATCAAAGAGGGCGGTTGTGGGTTTGTTTCGGCCTCCGGGGGCCTTGGAGCGAGCAGGCTTGGGCTGAGTTCGGCCTCCGGGGGACCTCGCCGGGCTTCGGGACCGTCAACGAAAAACGGCTCGGGACCAGAAACGGGCCTAGGGAAGTGGTCCAGACCTCCGGGGCCCACGAATCGAAAGGGTTGGAACAGCGAGATGTCTGGCTAACGGGCGCTTTGAGAGCTTTTTAATCCCTGGCTGGTGACAACGGGTGTGACCGCACAGCGCCCTTGCCCCTCCTCCTCCTTCTCCTTCTCCTCCGCCTCCTCCTCCTCCCTCCTCCTCCTCCTTCTCCTCCTCCTCCTCCTCCTCCTCCTCCTCCTTCCTGTCCCTCTCCTCCGTGTCCGAATTCGGGGCCCGAGTTTCGGCCACGCTCGCAGGACAGACGTGGGGCACAGCTGGAGGTTTCATCTTGGTGTCTGCTCCGATCTCCTCCCCCGGAACAAACTCTGCCTCGCGCAGAGGGGGTAGGGAGAGTAGGGGGAGGGGTTCTTAGAAGCATTCCTGCTTCTTAGAAGGTGCGGGCCTTGTCTGTAGATGCAAGGCCGGCGCCTTTTGAGAAGCAGCCTCTTTTGAAGAAGCCTTCCCCCCTCCCCTTACCCCTTTGACGCGCCGCCAGGGAGCGATACTGGGCGTGACTTGAGAAAGGGGGGGTGGGGCGGGGCAGGTCACGTCGCGATTTGCGCCGGCGCCGTCTGGGAATGCTGAAAAGGGTGGCTCATCCCCAGACGGCGTCAGCGCGAATCGTCACGTGACCAGGCGGGAGGGGGCGGTTCTGGTCACGGGCGTCACCGCGAATGATTTGGAAAATTGGCTCCTGACGTGTACTGTGGAGCACCGCCGAGAGTTGCTACTTCGAGCCTTTTCTGGTCATATGGCAGCATCGCCCGCATCGGAACGGGATGGGTTCGCCAGGTGGCTGGCCAGAGTACCCATTCGTGGAGGAGGAGGAGGAGGAGGAGAAGGAGGAGGAGGAGGAGGAGGAGGAGGAGGAGGAGGAGGAGGAGGAGGCGGAGGAGGAGGAGGAGGAGGAGGAGGAGGAGAGGAAAGGCCGTCAAGGGGGGGCACTGAGATGAGCGGAGATGCCCTGCGCCGCCTTGGAGTGAAAAGAGCTCCGCGCTCCAGCCCTGCCGGTCAGAGACGTCCCGGCGGACTCCTCTGCTACAGTCTTCGGCCCCCTGCGGGGGCCCTTGCCCGGCCCCGGGAGCCGTCAAAGGACACGGCTCGGGAGGAAAACCCAGTCCCGGGGCAGGGGTTCAGACTTCCGGGGGGCCACGTCGGGAGACAGAAGCACACGGCGTCCGAAATTTTTGTTGGGTGGCTTGTGCCGTAGGGTCAAGCCGGGCCTGTCCCTCTACAGGAGGAATATTCGAAAATGGTTAAAAGATAGTCTGGGGGCGATTTGCTTGGCATTTTTGAACATTTGTGGTGCATTTTGTAGGTATTTTTTTCCGTCCAAGAATCCGCCTGTAGGGGGACATGCCCGACCTAACCGTAGGGCAGGGAGTCCTGGACACAGATTTCCGATGTCTTCAGTTGCTCCATGCGTGGCCCCAAGAGCTCTGGCCCGCTTCCCGGGGTCCGCTTTCCGCTCTGGCCCACTTCCTGGGGAAAGGTAGGGGGCCACATGCGAACCCTACCCCTACCCCCCACGATTTCTGAGGGGGAGGGTGAGGTTCACTTCGTTCGGGAGCTCCCGAGCGAAGTGAACCCCACCCTCCCCCTCAAAAAACGTGGGGGGTAGGGGTAGGGTTCACATTGGCCCCCTAAATAGGGCACTGGGAAAAGCAAGGCGTCGGAGGTCCGGTGGGAGAGGGCGGGGGTGTTATCGGATGTGTGTTGGTCCTCTGCGCACGTGCCCTCACCATGACGCTCAGCGCACGTAGCTTGTCTTCCTCGGCCTTGCTGCGGCCCCGTGCGCGCCGAGGTGTACTCTGGCGCCTGCTTGGCCGGAGGGTGCCGTCAGCAGAGGTGGGCTGGGCCTCTGATTCCCGACGACTGTTTTCTCCCGTCGGGGCTCGACAGCTATTTCCCCCCGTGGAGGGTGGAACGCTCGGGACAAAAAAGTATGTTGGTCCTTTTTGGGCTTCTCGAGATTTCTGTATGCGTCCAGGGACATCTGTAGGCCGTTCGAGGCCCCGAGGATCTGCTTCCAGGAATTCTGCCTCCCACGAGCCGTGTCATGATGGGGGTCGTGGGTCAAATTCGTGATTCGGCAAGCCCGTGCCGGTGCCTTGTGCAGTGCCGCGCCGTGCTGTGTAGTGTCGTGGCCTTGCACGTGTCGTTTGGGGTCTTGCGGCGGGGTGAGCTTCTTTCTTCGCACGACGCTCGTATGCCAGGGCCCCTGCTCTTTCCCCCCTGGAGGCACAAGACATCGATATAGGGACCACTTTCTCGGGACACATGCCCTGGAGCTGCCTGACTCCTTCCCCCGGGCCGGCTGTTCATTCCCGAGTAGCTCCCAGGCCCCATCAATGACGAAACAGGATTGCCGTTTTCGTGAGGCCCCGTCCCCGAAGCCGATTTTGGCCACGATTTTGTAAATCCCCCGCCAGACGTGTTTGTATTTTCTGATTTTTCGTTGATCTTTTTTTTCATCAGCTGCTGTCACGTTGCCGACGTGCACCCCAAGTTGGGCATCTGCGTTGCGTGCTGTGCCGCGTGCGCGGTGCAGCGCGGGTTGTCCCAGGCCACCGGATGCTTGGGCCCATCCCTGCTCGAGGGCCGCAGGTCGACCCCCGGGCCTGTCACGTCCGTGTTTTCGCTCCCGGCGGCAGCCTCGAGACGAGTCCGCCCGTGGCCGTGCAGGGCCCACCGGCCAGGCAGCGCCACCCGTCGCCCAAAAACCTGGACCCCGCAACAGCGCAAGCGACTCTCGATCCTCCAACTCCTCCTCCTCCTCCTCCTCCTCTTCCTCCTCCTCCTCCTCCTCCTCCTCGCCCTCCTCCTCCTCGTCCTCCTCCTTAGGCTACTTTAGCTCCTCCTCCTCCTCCTCCTCCTCCTTCTCCTCCTCCTCCTCCTCCTCCTCCTCCTCCTTCGAGCCGCCGTAGAGCTGGGCCCGCTTCTGGGGCCCCGCCGGGGCGCGCGCGCCAGCGGCTGCGGCGGCCGCCGCCTGCGCCTGCGCCAGCATCACCGCCGGCGCCGTCGCCGGCGCCTTCGTGTGTCTTCTGTTCTGTTATGTCGGGCGTGTCCCCCTACAGGGGGATTTTCGACGAAAAATAAGAAATACCCCCAAATTAGTCAAAAGATAGTACAACAATAGTCTGGGGACTATTTTTTGATTATTTATTTGACCTTTTTGGTGCATTTTTGGGGCATTCTTTTGTTTTTCGTCGAAAATCCCCCTGTAGGGGGACACGTCCGACATAAGTCTTCTGGGGCTCGAGCGGCAGGCACCGGAGAGTGCGCGGGTGCAGGGAGGGGCCTTTTCGCTCGGGGGCAACGATAGGGGGGGAGCGCTCGGGGGCAACGATGGGGGAATATGCATAATTAGGGGGAATGCATCGACCCCCAATCGCCCACCGACCGCCGATACGGGCCCGATAGCCCCAACCCGCCCAGGAAGGTGCGGGTTCGCTATCGGGTACCTATCGCCGATCTATGGGCGATGGATCGCTGACTCCAGGTCGATGCATCCTCCCCTGTGCCTGTCCTCCCCATCGCTGTCCCTCATTCGCCCCCCCCTCCGATCCGTCGTTCTCACGCTCTTCCTCCCAGGCCCTCCTCGACGCGTTGGCGTTTACGCTGGGCGCGGAGTTCTCCTTTCCCGTACCCGCGCAGAGGGACGCTCCCCCCGCGCCCGAGCGCCGCCGCGCGGCGTCGGCCCCGTAGGGGGGGGGGGGGGGGCGTGCGGAGGTGCCGTGCTCGGCCCGGGGGACTGGCTGGGCGGGCACACGCTCGTGGCCGAGCGCCCCAACAACATGACGGTGCGGGCCCGAGGCGCTGGGAGGAGGAGGAGGAGGAGGAGGAGGAGGAGGAGGAGGAGGAGGAGGAGGAAGGAGGAGGAGGAGGAAAGAGAAGGAAGATGAGGAGGAGGAGCAGGAGGAGGAGGAGGCGCTGGGAGGAGGAGGAGGAGGAGGAGGAAAGAGGAGGATTCGTTTGCTTTTTTTTGTGAGCGGCAGAACCACTACAGAAAGGATCGGTGCTTGCGCGCCAAGGCGTTTTCATTCGCGGAACTGGGCTGCCTGACGCGAGCGGCCGAAGGACACCCTGCAGCGGGACACTCTGGCAACACGGCTGCCGCCGCAAAGGCCCTCAGTTTAACGCCGACGCTGCGCAAAGGCGGTGCCCGAGTTCCTCGCGGGTTTCTCAGATCGTCCGGTCGCAAATCATGGGAACCTTGTGTACCATCGTAATGTTGTTTCTAGCGCCGGGTAGCGTCTAGGAGTCAATGGGATAGCGCCGACTTAACGTCGACTAGCGTGGATTCCCATGAGCCGACAAGATGGTACAGGAGGCTCCCATGAGTTGCCACCGAGGGATCGGCGTTTGGCCCCCTCGGCGGCGCCTCCTGCGCTGCTCCTGGCGCGCTTTGCACGCCAGGGAGGGGGGGGGCCACCGCTGATCCAAGGAGCCCGCGCGGACCTCATAGTTTTTGTTTTGTGTCTGTGTGTGTGCGTGTGTGTCGTTGTCAGTTCCCCTGCCCTGGCCCCTTAGGGGTGTTGCAGGCTTTTGGGGTTTCTGTCCATGTTTATTTGGGGAACGTTGCAGTGCAATTGTCCGTCTGGGAACAACTGGTTTCGGGGGATGTTGGATGTCCTGGTCTGGCGTGTCCGGGTTTAGGGCCCCACGATGCCTGCTGTTTTTTCCAGGCCAGAACTTTAGGGCCCCTTTCTAGACTAGCACAACTAACCCGGATAATATGGATGAGCAACCCTCCCAAGGGTACTTTTTGCCCTTTCGGCTCACCATTAGCGACTCTCGTTTGCCGCGCCCCGCTCGCAGAGTATCGACATGGCCTTCCGAGGCCCTTGCATCCTTACCGCGCATCCTCTTGCTACGGGTTGCTTGTAGTACTCGGCCACGCGCAGAGGAGGATACGGGGTGGGACAAGCTAGGTGTGCTCGCGTCATATCTGACGTCCTACCCATCCCTCCCATCCCTTACCATTGCGTAGATCTCCTTTCTATTCGCACAGTCGGATGTCGTAGCAGGGCATCGCATCTCATGGCGTAGCATGGTGTTGAGGATCAACGCGTAGCCTGACATAGCATGCCGTTGCGACGCCCCAAAGTGGGGGGCTTCTGCGGCCCAAAACGTCAACGAACCGACACCGACTGTGGAATCACTTCCGATGGTTGTTTCGGGGAGCCATTTCCTAGATTTTGGCTTTAATTTGGAAGGGCCGAAAACCGTCCATGCCGTGGCATGACGCTGGGGATGATGGCGCCAACGCTGCAGCGGGAGCACGATTCGCAACGGGCTGAAGCGCGGAAATGAGGCCAACGCTGCAGCGGGAACACGATTCGGAGGACGCGTCGCCTGACATAGCATGCCCCAAAGTGGGGTGGGGGCTTCTGCGACCCGAAAAATCAACGAATCGGCACCGAATGTGCGATCACTTCCGATGGTTTTTTCGGGGAGCCAGTTTTTAGATTTTGGGGCCTATTTGGAAAAACCGAAAACCATGCGGTGGCACGGCGCTGGAAATAATGACGCCAGCGCTGCAGCGGGAGCACGATTCGGAACGAGCGGAAGCGCGGAAATGAGGCCAGCGCTGCAGCGGGAGGATGATTCGGAACGAACGGTAGCCCGAATATGAAGCCACCGCTTGAGCGAGAGCTGAATTTCGAAAAAAAACGAAGCGACAACCCGTATCCCGGGAACCCTCTGTGTAAAAAACAGTACGCGGAGGGGGGCCGAATATTGCCCGGACGACACCGGGGGAGAGAGGAGAGTCGTACTCATACTGTATTTTAGTTGTGGAGGGGGGAAGGCTTCTTCGAAGCGCCCCCTCTCCTTAGAGAAGTCGCGGGCCCCCTCGCCCCATGGGGGCGTCTCTTCACGAGCCGTCCGCGGGCGAGGGGGGCCTCGAGGCAGCCCCCCTCCGAGGCGCGCCTCTCCTGAGGCCCGCCGCGGGGGCCTCGCGCGGGCCGCCTCGCGCGGGCCCCGCGCGAGGCCGAGGGTGCCCGTCGCGCGCGGGGTGCAGACGGCGGGCGCCGCGCTGGCTGGCGCAGCTTGTCTGTAGGCTATGCTAGGAGGAGGGGGAGAGAGGATGAGGAGGAGGCGGAGAGGAGGAGGAGGAGGAGGAGAGGAGGAGTAGGAGGAGGGAGGAGGAGGAGGGAGGAGGAGGAGAGGAGGAGGAAGGAGGAGGGAGGAGGAGGAGGGGAGAGGAGGAGAGGAGGAGGAGGAGGAGGAGGCGGAGGAGGAGAGGAGAGGAGGAGGAGGAGGAGGAGGAGGGAGGAGGAGGAGGAGGAGGAGGAGAGAGGGAGGGAGGAGGAGGAGGAGGAGAGGAGGAGGAGGAGGAGGAGAGGAGGAGGGAAGGAGGAGGAGAAGAAGAATAATAAGCAGAAGAAGAAGGCGAGGAGGAGGAGGCATAATGAGGAGGAGCGGAGGATGAACGGGGAGGAGGAGTGAGGAGGAGGAAGGAGAGGAGGAAGAGAGGAGGTCGGAGAAGAAGAGGAGGAGGGGAGGACGATGAGGAGGAGGAGGAGGAGGAGAATGAGGAGGAGGAGGAGGAGGAGGAGGAGGAGGAGGAGGAAGGCGATGGGTCTAGATCACAGCGGGTCGGGTGAGACCACAAACGGACAGGTAGAACCGAAGCCTCAGGCACGGGCAGATCCCAACCGAGGAGCAAGCGAATAAAGAAAGCCCATTACAACATCATCATTGCAGTTTATTGCAATATGAAACCTCACTGGGAACTTTAGAGAAGCAAATTCATGCGTGAGCTTTAGTGGTTGGGAGCTCGCCCGTCTTTTACTGGATCGCCAAAGTAGTAGTAATCGTTGTAGCAGTAATATTGGTAGCATTAGTAGTGGTAGTAGTGGTAGTAGTAGTAGTAGTAGCAGGAGTAGTAGTAGTAGTAGTAGTAGTAGTAGTAGTAGTAGTAGTAGTAGTAGTAGTCGTAGTCGTAGTCGTAGTAGTAGTAGTAGTAGTAGTAGTAGTAGTAGTAGTAGTAGTAGTAGTAGTAGTAGTAGT